AACTTTATGTGGTGTGTTGTTATTTCCAGCCTTTTCTTGTCTTTTATGTAAAGTCCTTCCCATTTACCAAACAGCATTTTATTTCCTGGAAAGCAGAACTTCTGGTTTTGTGTTATCTTGATCCTAATTAAAGTCCATATACTCTTAGGTCTTTTACTTAAGGTCCTTCCCGTTTACTAAACAGCATTTTATCTCCTGGAAAGCAGAACTTCTGCTTTTGTGTTATCTTGATCCTAATTAAAGTCCATATATTCTTATCTTCACAAGCATCATTAGTGAAATGCCACCTGCAACAGTAAGTTCTGGGTCAGTCCTGAAATGTGTGGCTGAAAGAGGTCATTTTCTTGGAAGTTCTCTGAGTTTAGGGGTTTTATTCATGCCTCACCAGCTATGGTCAGCTCCTGCTCCAGCTAAACTTATGAACTGCAGCTCAAAGATTAAGTCATCTGTGGAGACACCAAAGAGATGTCAAGCATTTTTATTACATGTTTTTTCTCATACAGTTAAAATGTTTCAGTAACATTTCCCTCTGATACAGCTAAAGGGTGGTTATAGGAAGCTGCCTTGGTAAAGTGGCCTAAAACCTAGAAAAACAAAGCATGTCTCAGAAAGTGCTGGAAATAGCATTATTATCCCTGCTAAGCCTGCAGTGAAGGGCTCCCTTTTGTCACATGGTGTTTGCAAAAGGAGGGGCATGGGAGATATCCCAGTAATCATTTTGAAAGATCAAGTGAGAGCTCTTGTCAGCAGCTTTTCCTGTGCTGTGGAGGTGGTGACAAGCACCTCTCCATTCCACGTGGACACAACAATTCAGGAACTCCTGCATGGTGCCTTCTCCATGGCTCCATAATGAAACTATGGAGCATTTAGCTCCAGAAATGGAACTACACGTGACACCATGCTGAGGTACTAAAATGAAAGGAATATAAGCACATTTGTGAGGGGTTTTGCTGGTACATAAAGCCCTGACCTTTGGCTGATGTATGTTCAAACTGGAAAGCAGCTCCTTTGAGCTTAGAGTGCTGCTGAATTCATGGAAGAGGGACCAACAATTCATTCTTCAGCAGTCATGGTGTGATCACAAAAATTGTCTGCTTCAGGATATTCTCAGAACACAATTCCCAGAGTGTGTGGCTCTCTGACACATCATGTCATTTCTCATTCTGCCAAACAGGAGTGAACTTGCTCCCCCCAAACACCACAAAGGTTTCCACTTTTCCTCTGGTAGGAAATGTTTCTCCACTTCTGTGAAAACCCTCTCTGGTTCCATTGGCCGCTGGAGCTTGGATCTCATAATTGCTTTTCCTTTTACTACGTCATTGCAGTTTTAACAAGTGGTTTTCTCCTGCCTTGCTGTTCACTAACTCAATTCCACAGAGCCACAGAGTGGCTTGGGTTGGAAGGGACCTTGTGCCAGCTCCCTGCAGGGGACACGTTCCACCAGACCAGATGGCTCCTGGCCCTGGCCTTGGGGATCTCGCAGGGCTGCAGTACTTGTTTTTGTTCACAGCCCTCCTTCACAGTCAAGAATTGTCTGCTGGGTCATCTCTCTCAAGGAAACTGCTGCTTATTCCTGACCCACACTGCCTAAATAGTCTAATTAGCATGTGGCTGATCAGGGAGGAAGGACAGAACTTGTTGGTGCTGGTCTGCCAGTGCTAAGTTGCACCCAGAGTGCAAGGCTGCAGCTTGACTGGAACATCCTCTGGGGAAAACTGTGGGGGATGTCAAATCTGGGCCAGTATGGAATCTGTCCTTTAAGCCATGATCACTGTTTTGCCACAGGGTTACAAGCAGCCTTCTGATTTTCCAAGCACCAGGATTGTGCTGGTAGTCCCAGACAGGACTGTGCCTTTGCTGGATCAGACAGTGCATTATCTCTCAACAAGCCTTCTCTTTGTCTCTGTAAAAAAAAAAAGCCATCTCCCCCCACTCACTTCTAATCCCCACTCTCACTTCTAATCATGACTGAGCTGCAGAGAAATCTGTAATGTCACAGTTTTACCTTGGTAAACGTAGTTGCTTCCAGTAGATGGCATTCCAGCCATGCAGTCCTGATCCAGATTAGTTCCTGTCCTTGCTTGAGCTGCCACAATAATCCCTGCACAGAAGGAGGTTTTTTTTCCTCCTAATGCTCAAAATAAATGGAGTTAAAACACTCTTGTTCATTTCCTACCTAATTAAAGATGTTTTTTCTATTTAATGCATTTTATAGCATTGGGTTTTTTTCTTTGTTTTCCAACGTGCTTAACTCCAAAGTCATTTTATTTTGGAAAATTTGTCAAGACACTGAATGCTTTGGATTGGATTCACAAATCTGCTAACCGCTGGGCACTGCTCTTTCATGTGTGAATTTTCTGCCCTCAAGTTATGTGTCTGGGTCCTCTGTGTGGCACAGGGGAGGAATGAGGCACAGCAGCTCCACCACAGCCAGCAGGCAGAGCAGAGACCAATTACAAGGAGCAGCTGGTGATTGTCACAGAATCCCAGAACATTCTGAGTTGGAAGGGCCCCCAAGGATCATCGAGTCCAGCTCTGGAGTGAATGGCCCATACAGGGATCAAACCCACAACCTTCATTTATTAGCACCATGCTCTGGCTGACTGAGCCACAGCTCTTTAACCAATTAATTACATTTCATATATATTTGGTGGGTTTTTAGGTGCATTCCTCTGCAGGGTCTCAAAAGTGCTGGAGACAAGTGTGAAACCCCCAAGCCAAATAGGAAGGTAGCTTGTTTTACTGCTAACATCAAATTCAGTGCTGGCAAAAAAACATTTCTTCACTGACTGCACTGGGGCTCAGCATTAGTGGGCATCACAGTCCCTTCCCACAAATCTCAACTCACATTATTAATTAATCAACATTTTAAAATAAAAATAATCTACAAGACACCTGTGTCACGGACATATTTTCTGAAAAATCCTTTCACTAGGATTTTTTCTCCTGAGAAGCTGAGAGGCCTGAGAAACTAAATTTAAACAATTATTATCTGCTGCTGTGGAATGCAACAGGTGCATCTTTGATTGGTCTCATGTGGTTGTTTTTAATTAATGGCCAATCACAGTCCAGGTGTCTCAGACTCTCTGGTCAGTCACAAGATTATGTTATCATTCCTTTCCTTTCCTTGCTAGCTTTCTGATTAAATCCTTTCTTCTATTCTTTTAGTATAGTTTTAGTATAAAATTTTCTTTTTATCATAAAATAATAAATCAGCCTTCTGAAACATGGAGTCAAGATTCTCATCTCTTCTCTCATCCTGGGACCCCTGTGAACACCACCACACACCTGGGTACTGTTATTTACCTTTGCCTTACAGTAAATGGAAATTAGAATTTATTTAACCATGCACTTGTGGATTGTAAGCCAAGACAAGCTGACTCATAAAAGACAACTCTTTGCATTTGATTTTGCTTCTGTTTAGTTAAGACACTTCTCAGTGCTTCTTTATTGACCTAGCATGGAATTTATTTACTTACTACCCAGTTCACAAAAACAAGCTAAAATTTAAATATTCCCTTGTGATTCAGCAAAGCTTCTAGTTCAGGTTTTGCACTTGTAATGGAAGAAAAAGCTCAAAGTATTTTTCTTTGCAGTCAGAAGCATGCTGTGGCTTAGGGAGGGGGTGAGAGGGGAAGGATGGGGAGGGCCAGGGCATGTACAGGTGTGTGGGTGGCACCTGCTTCCATTTGGGATCTGTAATCCTGAGTTCTTTCTGAAATAAGGAACCTCACACAACCCTTGAGGACACTTCTGTGCATATATATACACACATAGACATTTATATGCATATAAATACATATATGTATATACATATGTGCATAAATCTATATGTAAAAATAGGTTTTTTACGGTTCTTGAATCATATTAATATCCTGCTTGATGCCTAAATAAGCACTGACCCAGGACAGGAAGACTTTTTTGCCCTGAGAGAGGTGTTCACTGCCAGCTCTAAAATCCTCAAGGGCTCTCCTCCATCACTTCCTGACCATGTTCATCCAGAATATTGACACAGGTGCAGGGTTTCAGGCTTTGGCAGAATTAGATGGTTGCTGATTGGGATTTGGGAAACAGCAGTTTCAAATGAAGCAACCAAAGTAGTCCCCAGACTTTTTTACTTGCTAATTTTCTTATTATGACTATTATGACTTGCTAATTTTCTTATTGATACCATCTGGCAATCAGTTTTGTTTAGTTGATTGGGAACTGAGATGTGCATTCAAAAGGAATGGTTCCTTGGGCTTCCTGGCTGGACTTCTGTGGATGGTGCTGCTCTCACTCCACTGTCTTCTGCTCACAACTTCTAAAAAGTTTTGCACTTAAATCTTCTGTCTTCAGCATGTGGTCAAAATCAATTTTCCATTTGCTGAGAAAAGGAGCAGAATGGTAAAACTACAGAGGCAACTGAGGGGGGAAAGCAGCAACAGCAGCCTTTGGAGTGTCACAGCTGGTGTGACAAACGCTTGCATCTTCCAGCTGCTAAGTGACTTGAGTGGAAAAAAGGAAATTTTCCAGGGAAATATTTTTTTGGGGGGGAAAAAAGGTGCTAAGTCTTGTGTGTATGACTGAAAGCACATCTGTGAGTCACTCACAGCTGCCTTCCATGGAGAGAGCAGGGGCAGAGGCACTCTGTCCCCAGGCTGAGGACCAAGGCTGGCACCTGGCAGTGCCCACAGTGGGCTGCAGGCAGTGCCCAGGCTGGGCTAGCTTCAGTGCAGCTGGAAAGGCAGCCAGTGCAGGCAGGTGAGTGTTCCCAGGCAGTGACCTGGAAGAATCAGTGATGCAGCTTCAGCCTGCTCTGTCTCCACCCAGCCCAGCTGGCAGCTGTGGCAGGAAGAGATGAGGGGAGAGAGGAAGGGCAGGGAGGTGTAGGCATCTTCCTCACAGGGTGAGAACCTGGTTCAGAGGGCAGTGAGGGTCAGACCACTGGTTTATGTGTCATAACTCTGGTATGTGTACCAAAGCCTCCATCAGCCTGACACTGGTGTTTCCCTTCACAGAAACGACGTGGGAGCGGCCAAGCAGTGTGCCGGGCACTCCCAAGAGCCCTGTGTCACAGAAGAGTTCTGCAGGTACTGTCTGATGCTGTGCCTGGCTGAATCTGCTCCTCCACCATTCAGCAAAGCAAAGGAGAGTGCTGTGATACAGTGGGAGAGAGACTTGATGGACATATAGAATCATGGAATGGTTCAGGTTGGAGGGGACCTTAAAGATCGTCTCATTCCACCCACCTGCCATTGCAGGGACACCTTCTACTGTCCCAGGTGATGGAATATGCTCCAAGCCTAGCCTTGGATACTTCCAGGCATCCAGGGGCAGCCACAGCTTCTCTGGGCACCCTGTGCCAGGGCCTCACCACCCTCACAGATTGTCTCTTAATCTCTGATCTCAGTCTATCGTCCCACAGCTTAAAGCCATTGCTCCTTGTCCTGTCACTCCAGACTCCTGCCTAATGTCCCTTTCTGGCTCTCCTGTATCCCTGTCAGGCTCTAATGTCTCCCCAGACCCTTCTCTTCTCCAGCCTACATGGTTGTGAGAGTGTAGCAGAGCAAACACGGTGGAGCTTTCCCTCCTAGTAGTTTGTGTGAAGATTGTGTATTTCATTGTGACCAAAGGATTTATAATGTAGTTGAGTATCTTGTTTCAACACTAGTTTGAGCATTACTCAGTATATTAAAAAGAAAACGCAATTTATAGTTCCAGGAATCAGAAACATCTTGCAAGGCTTGCTTTCTTGACATGAAAACTCCCTTGGACCAGTACTTTTAGTGGATGCCAGGTGCCCAGCAAGCCACTCTGTCACTCTTTTCCTCAGGTGGATGGGGGTGAAAACTACAACAAAAGGGATAAGGGCAGGGAGACATCACTCATTGTGGTCATGGGCAAAACACACTCCACTCAAAAATGTTTAATCTATTACCCATCAAATCACAGTAGGGTAATGAGAAATACAACTAAGCCTTAAACCCTGTGATCTATATCTGCAAATTCAGTTATGGGATTAATTTTTAAATTTGTGCATATGGGATTAATTTTTAAATTTAAATCTTAAATTTCACTGGCCATCAGCAGCAAGCCTGCTAACTGTCCCTCTGTTCTTGCAGTGAATGGCTACTACATCTCTGGGTCCCCAGTGCACCAGCTTGACTCGGGTCACACGAGCCTCCGAAAGCCCAGTGGGGACACCCAGGTAAGCTTCTGGGGAAAAGCCAAACAGCAGGATCCAAGAATAAATGGGTTTCTAAGTAGTTGAGGAATCCACCCAGAGCAAGAAGTCAAGAGGTCATTTTCTTTTAGAAACTCTCAGATCAGACAGATTTGTTGTGTGTAGTATAGTTAGGCTTTGTGTCCAGCTGGTAAAACTGTAAAAAAAGCCAAGATCCTTTGGAATTTTTGTCCTATCACTCCTTTCTGAAAAATCCACCAGGCCACTTCAGTCACTATTAGCAACCCTATGAATTTTTCTGCCACTCCAGCCTGAACCCTGGGCCTGTGTCCAGCACAGTCCTCTCTTTACATTTGCACATCCGCCCATGTCTGTATCTCATTGTATTTTCCTGCAGCTCCAGCTTTCCCTCCCAAAGACAGTATTCACAAAGAATTCATCCAAAGCTTTTTTCTCAATGACTTCATCCACTCTGGCCTGTCCTTTCACAGCCCCTCCTCAGTGCCTCACCCAGCACATCACCCCAAGTTAACCTACAGGATGCTGACCTGTGCACCTCCCTTGCCTTTGTCCAAATTTCCAATAAATATCTCTGCGCTTTTGCTTGCAACATGTCGTATCCCTGGGAAATTCTTCCCCACAGATGTGGGGAAGCAGATGCAGCACAGGGCCCTCTTCCAGCTCCTCCCATGAAACTCTTTGCTCCCTGCCAAAACATCCCCATATGACCATGTGACTGCCACAGCTGGTGGATCACACTTCCCCACCCTCTGGCGCTTCCCCCAGTGGTCCCAGACCTGACTTTTCTGTTTCCTTTCTCTATGAAAGTGGTGATTCCTTTCACAGTGCTAAATACCCCTGGGGAAATGCCTGGTTGGTTGGTGGGCTGCTGCCATGTGGACCTGGCCTGCCTGGTGCTCTCAGTGTCTCTGACATTCTCTGTTTCTTGGGCTAAGTTTTGTGTTGTCTGACAATGGTCCCACTTTGCCTTGACCCTCTTTTCTCACATGCTGACTCTTAAGTAGTTCCTTTCACCTAGGTCAGTATTCCTGGTTTAGATTCATGGCATTTCTCATTATACAGTCCAGCTCTTTGGATTCTCTGTTTCTTCTACATCAAACATCTTGTACTAACTCCCTGTGCTGCTGTTTCTCTGAGCAGTTTGCCTGGGCTGGAGACAGTGAGCACCTAAACTAGGTCAGAAGCATTTTAGAATCTGATGTAGTGCATTACCAGACATCCCTGTCCACATATCTACTGTGACTCCCTCAGAGAACCCAGAGAAACTTGTAGGCTGTGACTTCCTTCAAAAAGTCCCTTGTGAATCCTTTTGCAAAAACAAAATAAATTAATTTCTCAAGGCATCTGACTCCCATGTTTTTGTAGTTGGCATGGAACACAGATTAACTTCTGCAGAATTTCCTTTGTAGCAACATTTGCCACCCTCTGTTTTTACACTGCTGAGTCTTACTCAAATTCACAGACACCTTTATACTCAAATTTACATCTGAGATACATGAGGAGTTACAGAATGGTTCAGGTGGAAGAGACTCTAAAGCCCATCCAGTGTCACCCCTGCCATGGAAGGGACACCTTCTGCTGTCCCAGGCTGCTCCAAGCCCTGTCCAGCCCAGCCTTGGGCACTGCCAGGGATCCAGGGGCAGCCACAGCTGCTCTGGGCACCCTGTGCCAGGGCCTCACAGAGGAAAATTTCTTCCTCCTGTCCCATCTAACCCTGCCCTCTGTCAGTGGGAAGCCATTCCTCCTTTTTCTATCACTCCAGGCCTTTGTCCACAAGGACAAAGCCTGTCTCTCCAGCTTTTTGTAGACTGACCTCATGTACTGAAAGTTTCCACTGAGGTCTTCCTGGAGCCTTCTCTTCTCCAGGCTCTCTCAGCCTTTGCAGTCTTTGCTCGGCTGACTCAAGCATCAGCCTGTCAGAAATCCCTCTCATGGCTTTTCTCACTCCCTTCATCGCCTCCATGGTACTTTCTTTCCACTGCTCCTTTATTACAGGTTTTTCCAAACTGAACTCCTGGCTTCATCCCCGCTTTGAACCTGCTTTGAATTAGTTGTGAATCCCTGACTGGCTGCTGGTGGCATTAATTCTCAGAACAGCTTGTGTCTACGCCCTCTTGGGAAGCTGCTTTTCCTGGGGGCTGAGGCAGCTTCTGCAGAAGAGTTCTGAGTAAGGAAAGCATCTGACCATAAACCTGTGGTTGCAAGAAGCTGTTCTGCATACCCCTCAAAGTCTTTTTGGCCCGTCTCTCTCTCTCCTTGTGTGTCTTGGGCCATCCTAAGCTGCTCTGCTTTGACTGCTTCCTTGTCTGTTCCTGGCACGGGCTGTCTCCCACTGTGGAGCAGCTCCTAAGCTTTGGCCAGGATGCTTTCTTGGGCCTGGGCAGCAGCCACCATGCAAACAAATGCTGGCAAGGTCCCTCCAGCAAGCTCAGCCACATTTCTTGGAAACAGGTCAGGGGGTGGGGGGAAAAGCCACAACTGAGAACAACGCGGAGCTATGCTGTGCTGGGCACTCAGCCAGACCTTGTTTATGGCTTCCTAGACAGCAGCTAAATGCTGCCCGTTCAAGTTGTCACAACTGCCACCAAGGGGACAGCAGAACAGCCGTGGAACTGCACGTGTGTGGTGCTGGCACCTTGCTGCTGCTGGGTGTGGAGTCCCAGGACGAGCACCGGGTGGGATTTGGGGTGGGAGTCCCAGATGATGCCAGGAGCAGTCACAGCATCTGAGCCCCACCAGGGACCTGCGACAGGGACAGGGGGCACTGGGGCACATTTGTGTCCCTGTCCTCAGGGGGATATGATGCCATCATTCCACAGACAGGTAGGAGCTGCCTGATGGCAGGACACTGTCACCATCAGTGGTGGTGTCCAGCAGTGTCCCCAGCAGTGGCTGTCCCCATCCCTGTCCCCATTCTCGCACCCAGCAAAGCAAAGTGCCACCCATGGGGACACCAAGACTGTTGTCCCTGTCCTCAGGGGGGTGTCACGCCACCATCCCACGGCGTGGCAGGGCACTCTTGG